CGTATTCACCGGATCTACTCCGAAAGCTTCAGTATGGTCGGGGATGGATGTCTCGGGTTGCTTCCGGTCACCCGTCCGTTGCGTCTCGCGAAATGCCCGAGGATCAGATCCGGAACTTTACAGATAGCACACAAGCAAACCACCCGGGCAACAACTGGTTAGATGTTGACACTTATTCTGTTCATGATGTGGCACAGTTCACATTTTGCAAGCTTTTTGCAAACATCTGACCACACTCATAGCAGCGGTGGTTTCAGGGATTGCGGCCCAATTAAAAACTTTTCTTTTTACTAGTGGTATTAGTAGTAGCAGTAGTGATGGATTTTCTGTTACACATCGTTGTGTCATAAACAACAGAAGCAATGATCCACATAGTCACTGAGACAATGTGTTCCTTCATAATGAGTGACAGCCCAAAACTTGGAACTTGAAGTAACAAGCCATATGAATTTTGCACTAGAATAATCGCGGTATGGAGTCAGAGTTCAGTTAGGCCTTTTACCACCAAATTTGAGTGGTGAACCTCAGATCTTAGGACCCAAACCAACCCGGGGACGGAAACTTGAACCGCTTGACCACTACTATCATCCTAGTGGGAGTACCCCTGTTGCAACGAAACTCATCAGGCCATCATATATTTGTTTTGAGGAAAAGAGCGCATGTAATCCCACATTACTTCCGTCCAGATTGACCCATTTCTTCTCCATTCCACTTTCTTGTCTCACATTTTTAGCGACGTCGACTTGATCTGATGGGATCGGATTTGGTGACCGAACTCGAGGGCGACGCACGCCACTCAGATGACAGTACAAGTTCGAACAGCTTGTTACGGTTTTTGTACTCAATGATTTGTCGAGTTATCGGTGTTTTGGACGATTTACGTCGTCCTTTTGCCGAACCGTCATCATCCGCGAATCAGAGTGAATGGTAAGAGCTTCCTCCCCCCCTCAGCCGGTGAGAGGATATATTTATTCATTTAGGTTTTTCTAGGGGACTGGTTAGAATGCCTCAAGCAGTTATAGGTACTTGGCATAGACCAAAAATAAAAGAATAAGCAGAAATAATCTCACAAAATCTGCGCAATTCTTTTTTGAAGAGGCTCATTCACAAAATTTGTCTTGCGAAAATCTAATCCATCACAAAGGGACAAATACCCTAGAAGTTCTCCTGCCATATTCAAACGTATAGGGCATCGACGAGATTGTGATATTATCGAATGTAGTAGCTTTATCTCCAAAATATGAACTTTCTTCCATTTCCTTTATTTGTGTTTTCAGCACGAATTCATTTTAAACTCGGTAAAGTCACATGTACCCGTTCAACCAGATTGACCCCTCTCACTGCGTTGCGGCTGGCTCCCGCGCAAAAATTTTTAAGAGCTATCCGATGCATAATATTGAAACTAGTTAGCGCTTTCCAAGTTGCTTGTCTGTTTTATTTACAGTACACTGTTTCAAAATAAATAGCACTGATGTGTGTAT